CCCCCCCCGGTCCCCCCGCTCCCCCCTCCAAAAAAAAAGGAAACACAGACATACGCACAGGGATTGAAAGGTAAAACAGCTGAACACAAAACCCAAAAACACAGGAATAACAGCCATGAGACAACTTCAAATCCACTGTGAAGTTGTGAACCGATTCCCATTTATCTTTTGCAGGACCTAAACACAATACAGTGCACTATCCTGTTAGAATAGCACACAGAAAGACGCCACACTATGCCTAGGACACAAGCGAACACCTCACCAAGAAACAGTGACAGCTTCTAAGAAGCAAGCGCGGAACTGACAATAATGGTCTACAGCATCATACCTGTAAGCCAGAGACCGTAGCCCAATGAATCAAGAAATAAGTTGTCTCGCTTCTTCATACTTGTACTAAATCTGAATCTGGCTCACTCTCAACCACACTGATAATAGCGCAGACATTTTCGCCAACTCTCTTCTGGAAAGAGTTTATACTCTTTCTGCTCAGCAAATAACAAACTGGCAAAGCAAACTGCTCCGTTAGCGGCTCCTCTCAATGTCTGCTCAGCAAACGGGTCAAAGACTCCGGAGAAGTCGATTGCCATGTGCTCTGCAATACCACGTAGACAACTGAACGAAAAACATTTCCGGCCTCAGAAAACGGAGTTGTTGCAATTTATGAGACCATGTCCACCCATGAACGAAGGGGCAGGAAGATATCGGCACTGTTCCACCGACTGAGAAGAACAGACAAATGAAAGCTGAATGCCCAGTGACAATGACCTATGAACAATCATAACATCACCAGGTTTCTTGTCGTCGATGATATACCCGGCCGCCATTGTGAAAATTGTGGAAGACCTTTGCAAAGCCAATATACTCCTCAGATTCAGGTTTGTGGGGGATCTCAACATCATTTCAACTATTGCCCAACAAGTTTGAAGTTGTGAACATAACTACCATTTCTATACACCCCAGAGACTCGACAGGCTTCAAAAGACAAGCACAACTCAACAAACAACAATTGCAGGTAGCCCTCAACCGATCATCACCCCAGCCATATCTCTCTCTCTCTCTCTCTCACACACACACACACACACACACAAACACACGCGCTCTCTCTCTCTCCACCCTTCTCACCCTCATGCGTACAGATGTTCACAACAGGATGAGCTCTCTCTACCCTTCTCCCTCAAGGGCTCAAACACGTACAGGGTTCAGAGCAAGAGCGAAGAACCATGAGTAACAAGCAGATGAAGAACTATGAGTAGACAAACTCACCTTGGTAGCCATAAAACCACATAACGCTTCCAACATCTGAATTTTTTTTTTAAAGAACGGGCAGAGTTCACTGGCACCTTTATCTACTGCCCCTCTCTGCCCCATGCCTATCCATCGTTTAGCCCAACCTACCCACCCACAATTACACCATCCTGCAACTTCTTTGCCACAGCCAATTCTCAGAACCCGAGAATGAGCAACCAACCCATCCACGCAGGCCAGGCTGCGGCAACCGAGGTGTAATTGATCCATCACTGGATATCGCTTCCCTTGCCCTTACATGGGCTTTGGGTCTAGAACTAGTCCTTCCTCACGACAATATTTCTCGCCATCCACAATCTCTCATCAACTCACCGTTCCTTTAGCTACCAGAACAAAGACCACAATGCCATAACATGGTAAATGTAGACAGACTTGAGTGAACAGAAGTTTAGGACATCCAACATACCCACAGGATGCACATCTTCAAGAAACCTTGTCTGATATCAGCAGGAGTCCCCGGTTCTGACCTGTCGACAACAATCACCACTGCCTCAAACTGTGTCATGGTTAGCGAGTCCTTCAACGTGCCTCCAAATCATCGGCGCCTCCTACCTTTCCTCTTCCGGGGATTCTTTCCAGTAGAGCCTTGTGACGTTGAGCTGCATGACGGGGACGAGCCTCGAAACGCTGTTGCTGCTGCATGTCCCATGTCCCCAAACATACCTGGGTCCAGCATATCAGAAAGCCACTCGTAGAGCTCCTCATCAGACATCTGAAATGTCTGCGGGTCAGTGCATTGAAATGGAAATGAATCACGGAACGCTCGACTATACCTATTCCCTGCATTTCTTGAGCTTCCTTCAGGTCCACTTCTACCAGCACCAGGCGAGCTCCCATTACGCCCACCAGTTCTTCCACTTGAGGCTTGCTTTGGCATCGTTGTGCTCACATGGAACATTGGCTTGTGAGTGTTTGCTGGACATTGCATTCTCTGAAGGAGAGAAGGAAGCAACCAGACACAACGTCACAGGACATGGAATTCTCAGCTTAGACAAATTCATTCTTTAACGACTGATCTAATGTGGGCAAAGATGTGGGCACTCATATCCAGACATGAAGAAATGTCCCTGCTTGTGGCATTGTGGCATCCCTTATATATTTGTGACCTAGGCTGCACCGGCAAACGGCCCGGATAGCCTGGATCAACCCCAGGTGGCCCCACCGGAATTCTGGTTGGAACTTAGAAATTAGAACCCAAAAGAGGTCCCTTTTTTTTTTCCTTTTTCTGAATACATGGTTGGTCTGCACTCGAAGAGATCTGCCCGAATCCACAAAGAAAACCATGAACAGAGAACTTTCATTCCGTGGGGCTTTTTTTGGGGGGTTAGGGTGGGGTGGGGGGTGG